TAAGATGAAATGTATGAACTCAAAGTAATATAACGATATACATCCACAGTAATGCATATTATTAATTGTATCTGTCTGCATGTGTGTGTACAGTTAGCTCCATAAGCCTTCTGTTTGCATTCCCACATGACATGAATCAAATAATGCACTGATATGAAGTGCAGACTTTCAGTTTTAATTCAAGGTCTTTAACAAAAGTATTGCATTAACCGTTTAGGAATTCACATCACTTTTAGATACAGTCACTCATTTTCAGAGGCCCAAACATAATAAAGACCATCCAGAATATATGGATTCTTTTGAATATTTGGATGAAATTTTTTTGCAGTACGCGACTGCCTGAAGCTTAGAATCCATGGACATCACCAAATGCTGTGTTTCCTTACTTGCTCTGCTGGGCCTTTATTGCAGCTGAATCCAGTTGCTGTTTGTTTGCAGGTCTCTATGAATTCATTTTTGTATTTGATAAATGAAACACTGTTCTACTGGGATGAGATGGCCATTGAACAATCTGCATCGAGAAACTCTTGGTAGCTTCTGCAGTTTGTTTTGGGTCAAGACATTCGGTTGAATCTAATCAGAGCACAGACAGCACCATATTGTAAACCGTCTGCACTTCCATCCATCAAAGCATCTTTTGACTGTAGACTTTGATGATGATAAGCATACGTCCACAAGGGTCGAGGTGTGCCTCAACTTAGTTAGATGATGTGACGTTGACCTTCTGGGGGGTTCCAGGCCTTTTTGTTATTGCTGAGCTGGTCAGTTCATTCAATACATTGAAGTTTTTCTTTTAGGTTTGATGAAGTGTTAAGCAATGAAGTGTTAATGAAAAGGATCAGAACACAATGCAAAAATAAAGGCAGAGCCCTGTTAATTTGATTTTGTGTTCTGTTTTGGTACCATTTTTTAATGGATTTGTTTAATTTGCCTTCTAAGAGAAGCATTCAGTTTAGGTAAATGAGGACCACTGATGCCAAGATTTTTACATTAGCAGGAATGTCACACAACATGATTGTAAAAACAGAGTTATGCTTATCTGACAATGAAATAAAAATATTTTTAGGAGCCACTAAAGTAATCGTGCAGGACTATATAACACTTTTATTAAACCCAATGAATTAAAGCTGAACGTCTGCAGCTCAGTCACACTCTTATCATTTGGTTTAATTCCATTGTGGTGGTGTACAGAGGCAAAACTACAAAACTTTTCATTGTTCAAAACCTTTTGGACCTGACTATTTGCACACAGGCGTCCTCAAACCAACCTTCTGTTTGACAGGTTTGGCCAATGCCTGCTTTGCCTCCCGGGCTTTCTTGATGTCCTCAGGTGTGAGCTTGGCCACAACAGTGTTGTGGCGAGACCTGCTCTGGAAGTAGTACCGGTGGAGGGCTGAGGTGTTGTGAAGGAAGCGAGCACCCTGCCCAGGCCAGCCTGCGCCGCCTCCTGCCATTCCTGATTTAGGAGGTACCCCTAATGCAGAGGGAAGAAAAAAAAAAAAGATACAAAACTTAAGGGCCAATATGAAATATACACGCCACATTGTATGGAGGCCATAAGGATGCTATTTTCTTTTTTTAAAATGTGTATTTGTTAAACTTAAAAAGACCAGTATTTAAATAAATGGTTTCTTTATATTTGTTGAGGTAAACATTTAAAACATTCTGGATAAAAAGGAGCAATGCTGGAAACCAAACAATACCATTTTATATTCTTACCCTAAACCTCTGTTAGTGCATCCCATATTCGATAAACACTCAGTAATACCTGTGTGCATCTGTGCTGCAGGTCCCGTTTCTGTTTGGCTGTGCTCCCCTTCAGCAGGGGGGAAATCGGACCCCACAGCCCATTTGGCTGCTTCTTCAGGGTCCATATTCTCCCAGCCCTCCGCATCTGGAAACACATCCTCCTGTACTGACTGCTGCTGCTGCACAAACACACACACACACACACACACACACACACACACAAAAAGAAATTGCTGAGTGAACTATTGTAGTGCCAGTTTAGGGAGCAGTGTAATCCAAGTTTTTGTAGCTATAATTTGCAGATTGTGGGTTTGCAGCCCTCTCTCATTTAAAAGAGCATCAGTGAGTGACTGAAGTCATTATTTACAGGTAACAAGACAAAAAATATACAATAACATGTCAAGTTTTAGCCTGTCAGATGAAATGTTGTATAGGTTAGAACTTTTGCTTACAATCAGGTTCAGGTTAGGTTAAGAGTTTGGCACTTTTATCTACCCCTTCAGAAGTAAAAGGTTTGGGAATACAAAAATGTCAGTGAACACTCTCACAAAAATGTGAGTACCTATATGTCTGCCTCTTCCACTACACACAGATTGAAGCAGGCAGCAACCTTTAGCTAAAATATGAGAAACTCTTATCCAACTTGTGTTAAACTCACATACCCATTTACACAGCTGACAAATTTAATGGGGATTAAATCAGCTTTTTTCAAGACAAGCAAAGAACAGAGTGTTTTGTTTATTTGTTTTTTTAAATTATGACATTAATGGCTCCTTTTATGTATGACTTGTTTTGCATTTAGAGCTTATTTTTTTTACTTTCTGCTTATTTTTCAGTTAAATTCACCTGACTGCTGCCACCCATAAATGTGCCAACCAGTCCGTCTACCACATCCTGAGCAACTTTGACCCCTGCTCCCAGGGCGGAGTTGCAGGCCATTAATCGGAGCTGCTCGCCTTGAGTGGAGACCAGTGAAGAGCCCACTTTACCAGCTCCTCGCAGCACCTTCAGGACTTCTGACAGCATCACTTCAAACACAGAGGAGGGAGAGAGAAGGACTCAAGTTACAGGTTATGAGACGTTTGAGTGACAATACAGGAAAATGCCAGCATACAAAACAGCAAACACACACACCATACTCTAAAATTGATCATTTATAGAAAATGTAGAAGTTTGAGACCTCAGATATTAATGTAAAAGAAATAGTTCTGGGCAAAAACTGCAAAATGATCATCACCCCGTTTAACCTTGGATATACACAGCTGCCCATTTTTTAAGAGGCAGGTGTCACGTGTAGCCTCCAACTGTAAGCCACACCACATATAGGCTAAGTATGTTTGCAAGAAATGTCAGAATTAAAGAAAACGACACATGCATCCAACTGGGAATGTCAACTAGCTATTAAGTTAGCTCCTGGTGTTATCCAGGTTGTGTAACTCGTGGACTCGCAGACTAGCTAGCTAACGGTATCTAAATTAGACCCAAGTTAACAACAGGCATACGGAGAAGTGCTGAATGAAAACAAAATAATGTTCCCAAATTAAGTAACTCACTTTTTTCCTATCGCTATTTTTCCAGGTTTATCTCAGTGGCTGCCCACTTCCACGACTGCGGAGTGGGATGATCTATTTTGCAACGAGTCGACACCCGGAAGTTAAAATTTGACTAACTTGACTGCGAACCAATCACAGGGTGAATAGGCGTGACGAAAGACGGGAAGCGTATTCGTTTAACGAATGGTAGTGCAGAACGCCAGCCTATAGGAAGGTTGTATCTGAACTGTCTATCCAATTACAAACCGTATTAGGCGGGACTGAGCGGAGCAGCTACCAATGAGAAGCATGGGTGTCATGCGTGTAGTTATGGTTACCAAACCGGAGAAGTGAATTAATACGCAGACGTTTTCTTTTCATTTCTAAAATTCAGGTAAAGTTGAGAGATTTTGTTCAAAGTGTTTGTCCCTTTTGTCTGTTTGCACCTGCCTCACCATTATCTGCCATAATATACTGACCTTTTGCACATATATGTATATACACTATCAAATATCAACTTAAAGATGTTCAACACATTGTTTTTCACTTCTACTATTCTTTAGAATGAAACACATTTATTACTGTAACCAGACTGCATTTATTTAGACATCAGTCATTACTTTATGGTTGAATTTTGTCCTTCCGTGAAGCTGACATACAGTACTGCTATGGGGCAGTCAGGTCTCTTCATGCGTGTAAATGCAGAGAGAAGGTCTTTCTGCAGTGTGAATGATTTGGGGGGTTTTTTCAGCTAGTTTTCATTTTGGTATTTATTTATGACAGAATTCCAATGGGCCTCATGATCCCTCTTGTGTCACCACTTTTATGGGTTTTTTTGTTATTTTTTTTATTTTTATTTTTTTTACAAGCAGCATTTCTATTTTACACATAAAAAAAGGGAATCCAATGAAAAATCTGACGTTACATTATGGATTTAGAAAATGTTCCTGCTGTAATTATGGGTGGTCTATTGATCAAGTGGAGCTGCTGTGACAGCTGTTATTAGGCTGACACTGAGAGTTATTTCACATTTTATTAAATTGCTGGGCAGTAAAACTTTATGCTCTGTATGAACTAGATCTGTATAATTAATAAAAATGATTAAAAGTTAAATGTTTTAACTATGGTCCCGATCCAGGCTGGTAAACAAAATTTATTCTTCAACACAGTCTGAACAGAATGTCTTTAATTAGTCTTCAGGAATAGTTCTCCAGGCTCCTTGAAGGACATTCAAAGCTCTTCTTTGGATGTTTCTGCACTTTGTTGGCATCACACGCTATATTATGCCTATCAAACTGTGTTACCTTTCATTTTTCATAGATTCAACTAAAACTAATAGTGTTTTTTGCAGACTGCTTGTAATAAAGTATCTAAAGATATGATTTAAAATTGCTTATTTGCTAAATTGTCTGTTATGTCTAGACACAACGTTGGTTAATCCCTTGAGTTTGGCACCTTTTTATGCTTAAATTACTCAGTGTTTAATATCTTAACAAAACAAAAACATCCCTAATTACTGCACAATAATACAATAAAAACTGTTACCACTGATTAACTTTAAATAACAAACAATTGGTTCTTTTTATAGATATGGATATTTTATGGATAGTTCTACTACCTGATGAGTTACACTTTAAGTTACACGCTGGTATGTCACTGGATCCTGTCACATATATGATACTAGCATGATATGGTTCCACTGGTCCACCGAGACTGAGACCTAACCCATCACCCCAAACAGTTGTGGCTGATGGCTGACTCAACCTGAGTCTGGTTTTGCCAGAGTTTTCTCCCTGTTATAAATGGGAGTTTTTCCGTCCCACTGTTGCCAAGTACTTGTTGTTTGGTGCTATATAAATATAATTGAATTGAAATTAATTGAATTAAGATAGAAAGGTCACTGAAAATTTATATAAAGCTGCTTTGAATAGACCTGTGATGCAAAATTTCTGGCCCAATAGAACGACAGTGCCCCAATCCATAGGACCTGAAAAGTCTCTGAATGGTTTGATGAGTGTGAAAATCATGGAAATCATATGATACAGCCTGTGCAGTCACCAGATCTCAACTCAGCTGAACATTTATGAAAGATTTTGATCCCGGGGGTAAACAGTACCATAAACCATATCATCAAAACACCAGTATGTCTTTAAACAGTGTTTTCCAATGTTTCCAAGTAGATTACCAGATACTTGGCCCAACAAGCAGTATAGCACAGATTAAGTCAAAGCATAGTTGTTTTTTTTTGTTTTTGTTTTTTAAGTAAAGCAGACATTGATAGTGATGACATAAGCAAAAAAGATGCTGACATTTATGCACACATAAAGCTGCGGCATCTAGCCCTCTGCTGGACTGACACGGTGCTGCTGGAGGCTTTTACACAGCTGTTTCTGAAAAGCAAATGTGCAAAAGATACTGACCACTATAATACACAATCTATATTTATCTGAGACAGCATTTAATTATGTGTGTGCATTATGGGTGTGTGAGAGTATTTTAAATATAGTAGTGAGTAACAGCCAGTGCTGCTGTGAGTTTTATTTACTTGGACACACCTACAGCTTTTGGAAGATAAAATGAAACTTTAATGATCCCTGTAACCAAACTGGGTCACTGCGGCACAAGACAGTGTTGGAAACTGGGTATAAAAATTGAAACAAATCAGTCAATTTGGCACAACATTGTTGATTTCAGCTTGCGGAACATGATTGTGAACAATGAGATGTGTCGGATAACAGCAGGAGGACTTCCACAATGGAAATTTAAAAAAACAAATACAAACAAATTGTCGAAGATATGACAATATGCAAATGATTATCTAGACAAAAAATGAAAAATGCTGATTTGGACATATTAAGTCACAGAAAGTATAGAAAAGGTGCAGCGTGATCGTCACGGTGAACGTCACGCTGGTGTGGAATGAGTGGAAATGTGCCTATATGGATTTTCCCACCTGTCTTTGACACAGTGACCTTTTGATGTTGCGTTTTTACAGTGTGGTCCAGTGTAGAGAGCGTGGATGGAGCGGGGGTGCAGGGGGCGGCAGAG